GACCCCAGCGCCGGTGCGTCTTCTCCTGCCCCTGACCCGAGGAGCAGCCCGAGTCAGGACGCTGGAGCGGGCGCAGCAGCCAGCGATCCGGGCTTAAAAGTCCCCGGCAGCCGCAGCCAGGCTCCACGCACCACCAGCAGGCGGTGGGCGAGCCAGGGCGGTCCCGCGTGGGGGCATCCGGGCCCCAGTTCCGCGGGGAAACGCATCGCGGGTTGCTTGGATAGCTTTTCTTGCGTGCCAAGCGTGAGTTGAGCTGGAGGAGGGCTTGCGGTGTTTTCGTGCTGGTCTGGCTTTCTTTTGTCATTCTTTGTTTACATTCGCCCAACTTGTTTGCCGGCCACGGCTGAGCGTCCTCCCCGTGCTGGCCCGCCTCTGTCCCGGGCTATTGCAAAGGCTGGAGAACGCGGGCGAAGGTGAGGCCGCTTTCAGCCGCCCTCCTCGGTACTTTCCTCTGCAACTCCGAGCTTCTGAGATTCTCCTGTTAAAGTTGCCAGGAGGGTGAACAAACCAAACCCTGCCTTTTCTGTCAAACGCTGGAGTTCGGCGAAGTGACTAATAATGTGTCCAAATTTGCAAGAGCGTGGAGGAGGAAAGGGAAGGCTGCTGTAGCAAGCGTGATGAGGTTACATTTTTAGGGCATTTCTGACTAATAAACCATCGTGTTTCCTAACTCCCGGCTCAGTCTTTAGCATCAGCCTGTTTTATACACACGCTGCAACTTTGATAGCCTCATGGCTTTCGTGGATATGGACACGTTTATTTCATGGAAGCCAATATGGGATTAAAGTAACTTAACCCAGTGCTTTTGTGGCATTATTCCATGCTTATCTTGGTTATTTGTGACACCGTTGTTCCCCTTTCTCATTGCCCTCACAGACTGAATAACAGTCATGTACAGGAAATATTTCCTTCTGGGATGTGATTTCACATTTATCCGTTCCTGTCTTTGGGTTTGCTTTACTTTGCCTGGGTTCTGTGCACACATCGATGACTTTTCATTTTGGAGATGGGTTATGATTAAATCCAAGCCATTTGTCATCATAAGTACCGTGTGTCACATAGAGATACAGTCGCTCACCTGAATGGTTCCCAGTGTTGTGACTGGAAACTTCACACATCTCTTAAGGTCAAGTGTATTGAAACACGGTGTGTAATTCAGTCAGTATTCTCTATAATAAAGCGCTTGAGTTCTTTCCATACTAGATGAAAACCTAGATGGATTGGGTTATGTCACTGAAAACATGTTTTTAAATAGACAAAATAGACTTTAAAAAGCCTACTGCTTCCTGTTTTGGGTGGTTTTTGCCCATCAGTGATGGGTGTTTTACCTGGGCTAGGAGACTTCGATTTTTGGGAGGTGGCCAAGCATAGTCCTTGTCTACCGTGGTCATTAAAGGGAATAACCATGTCAGGTCACCTCTAATATTGCTGGGATATCCGGGTGGCTTTGAATTTGAATTATCATCTTCCAAATAATGTGATATGACTGTTGATTTGGCCAGTCACGATTTTGGGTGGACAGCTCCTTGAATGACCGTAGGTGGTCATGAAGACAGGTAAGATGGGTTGAAGCATATTTTGCAGTCCCACTGAAGTAACACTAATTGAAATGTGTGTTTTTTAGATTTGCCCACAGGCTGGGAAGAAGCATATACTTTTGAAGGTGCAAGATACTATATAAAGTGAGTGAATTTTTATTTCTTCCCTTGGTAATTCAAATGTTGAGATGAACCTGAAGTCGGACACTTGTGAGTCTAGATACAGTCATAGCTTAAAGTTTATTATACAGTGTCAATTGTATTCTTTATCTGGTCATGGGATTTTTGAGGGGCAGGATGGTGGCCCTCTTCTTTATCTTATTTGCCTGGGTATTTGTGGATTCAGAGACTGCAAATTAGGTCACTTTTGGCCACATTAGTTTGCTTGGTGTTTCTCTGTACGCCGTGCTTCTGTGGCAGAAAGTTGTAGAGCCTCCCAACTTTAGCTGTGTGGTACTTACAGGTTTTGTTCTTGATTATCTGTGGTAAGAGCACATACTCTGGTGCACCAAAAAAAAAAAAAAAAAAAAAAAAAAAAAAAAAGAAAAAGAAAAAGAAACCAAACACCAAAAATGTCTGGGTTCTGTTACCATTGCTTTTGAGGTGAGTCCTGCTTAAGTGTGTTTTGGCCTGAGCTGTTACTAAGTAGCAAAAGTGTTGTCAAGCTGGGGCAGTGACAAAGCAGTAAACTCTGATGCTGCCCGAGCTGTGCTGGAGCATCATTTGTAATCTTGCTCAGTTTATTTAAACATGTCCAAGAGATTGTGTCTTACTAATACTTGTGTTTGGGTGAAAGGCTTTGAAGGAGCTGGAGGGAAAGAGGGCTGACTAATCAGTGTAAACCAGTTTCATGGGCCCCAGCTGGTTGCTGTTCATATCCAGGCTGGTAGAGCTCCACACAAGCACAGTGTTGGAGGTCAGCATTGCTAGGGAAGATCTCACTCTCCCGAGGGGAATAAGGTGCTTTGTCTGTTTTAACTTAAAAACTTTTTGCTTTTGTTCCTGTATAAACCTTTTTAGTTAATTTTAAGGAACTGAGTCTTGAAAGAGTATACTTAAACACAAGATTTGGTAATGATTTTAATAGTTTATTAGCCATAGCAGATTCCTAGGTAAAGGTACCGTGGGCCCAGCCAATTATTTTTTGCCAAGTGATACTTTTTTAGGATCATGCCATTACTTAAATGGCTTTTTAAGTTTCCGTAGAAGGATGCTTTATGTAAAATGTCAAGGTATATTTATAGGTGCAGTTACTTTTGAATACAGCAACAGGAAAAGCAGAAGTGAGGTGTAAGAACAGTATCTTCACAAGTGTGGTCCTTCTGGGTTGTTGGTTTATTTTGACTAAGTTTTTTATTTGATGACCAAAAAAAAAAAAAAAAAATGAAGGCTTCAGTAAACAGAGACCAACAAGCCTTTTCCTATCAATTATCTTCTTTCTGGATTTAAGTGAGCTTGTGTTGTCATGAAAAGGAATGTTTTCTTTTTAGACATAGTACTGATGCTGTAAATTAAGGCAGTGTTTTGTTTGCTTTTGTGCGAGATAGTCTCACTGTGTTCCACTGGTTGGCCTGGAACTTGAGAGATCTGCCTGCTTCTGCCTCCCAAGTGCCGGGACTAAAGGTGTATGCCATCATACCCGGCATAAAAACAGCTTCTTAGTTTTTTCAGTTATTCAACATACTTTGGATTACGACACATTAATACTAGCTGATCTGAGACTAGACTTTAATGTCAATAATATTTTAATTTCAGTGAATGAGTGTGCTCTTGGATGATTGGGATTTTTCTTAGTTCAAAATGTTACATAGGCTCAATGTGTATGTTTTAATTTAGAAATAAGCTATTAGACTTTATCTTATTTTACTAGTTAGGCATTTTGATGATATTTTCTTTTATCCTGAATTAGAATTTTATTTGAGTACTGTGCGTTAAGTCACCTTCTTAGGAAAATCAGGACGCTATTAGAAAGCTATAAATAAAAGCCATCCTAAAACTAGTGGGCTTTAGTCATGTGGTGTTGAGAGGTAGCTAGAAATTGCTTCTCAAAGTAGCAATCGTTTTACGGTAAGAGCAATTCATTCAAAGTTGGGCTCATCGTAGGAATCCATCACGCACTAACTTCTTCAGAGATGCTAGCCACTCACAAATAGATTCTGTGCTGCATGGAGTTGTTATGGCGTCACTGGTCCAGCTGTGCCAGAAGACCCTATTCCTTTGTTTTTAGCTACATCCGCAAGATCAGCTATGATCTCTCAGAAGCTTTTCACATACTAGGTCATCCCATATTAGGGATGCTTTCCCATTCTGATGGTAAAGATTAAATCTCATTTTAATGGTGGAAATAGTCTCATTGTTTCCCTTTGTCCCTAGTGTAAGAAAGCAACAGGGACACTCCTGGTGCTTACCTTCTGCGGCTATGGATCTTCCAAAGGAAAGATAGTCGCCAGGACTAAAGTGGCCGATGTTCATGGGTATCTTTTTTTCTGTTGTTTCTTGAATGAAGGGAGTTACTGATCAAAGCAAAGGAAAAGGAAAGGACAGAAGGACGAGCTGGTTGAGAACTCATAGGGGAGATGGCCCCTGGCCCCCGACTCCTCGTCCTCCTGTGCTGTGGGAGGTGCCCTTTGTCAGTGGGAGCCTCAGTGCTTGAATGCTCAGGTGATGTGTGGAGCTCCTTCCTCTTTGAGGACAGCACTGGTGACTCTTCAGAGTTGCAGGGTCCCGGGAAGAACCTTCTCTTTGGATGATACCTTGGTCTTGACAGGTGGAGTGGGCAACTTCTAGAAGCTGGAGTATGGTTTGGCCTTTAAAAAAAGGTGCTTTGGGGGTCAGTCTTCGGAACTTTAGCTAGAGAAAACAACCTCTAAATTCTACTCAGTGGATACATGTCTTTGAATTGTATTCGGTGCTGTTCTGGGAATTTGTAGTATTCTAGAAGATAATGAAAACTCACACTGCCGGGAAGAGGTGATTGGGGCACCGGGGAAAGCCGAGTGGCTTTCTGGTCTGCTTCTGCTGTGGCCTCCATACATAAGCTGTGTTATGGATAACTAAAGATGAGTCGAGTGTGGAATGCCGGGGTGCGCTGACCTCCTGTCGCTGGGCCTGTGCTCACGTTTCCTCCTAAAATGTTGGTGTACATACCGCCCACCCCCCCACAGCTTCAAGGATAAATGGTTGTCATGTCAACGAAGGACAGGACCAGAGTGGAAGTCCTATGCATTTACACAGGGTCACCAGTTTACTTTGTAAACTTTAAAAATTGGCTCTTTAATGCAAGCTCACAGTTAGGTGAAAAGGAAGGTTCCTAATACAGAGAATATATTTATTTTATATTCATTTGTTCAAAAATGATAATTTATAAAAGTCCCTTATCTTAAGGTAAATATTTAATTTTATGCTTTGACTCTTTTAATGAAAAAACTGATTTTCAGTATACCGTAAGCTAGTCTTGAAATGGTGCATGTATATCCATGCGTATATAAATATGGAGTTTGAATATTACTTTTCCATATTGCTTTCTAAAACTTAATTTGTGTGATTTATCTTCAGGGGAAAGGCTAAAAGTTATTCCAAGTAAATTTGTAACTTAAAGTATGGCTTTAAATATTCCGTATCCTTACCCCAAATCAAACTGGAGCCTACAAAGGACGGAAGATAATCTGCTATACTTGAGTGTTATTAAGCTTCCTGCTTTAGCCTCACAAATATTGCTTAATGACTCTTTAATGACAGGTCACTGTAGCTTAAAACAGGATGTGTCATTTGCCTGTTCCTTTGTGCTCCAAAACATTGTGGTGGTTAAGCAAGCACAAAGCAGATCCTAACCCAGTGCTCTGTGACTGGAGAGACTGCGGGCCTCTCATAGGTCACCAGGCAGAAGCAAGCAGGCTACATACTAACACACTGTGCAGTGTATGCAGATTCTGTGGGGAGCTTCTCATACCGCTTTCTCCCTTAAATATAATTGCATAAATATTTATGCAAATAGAACAATGTATGATTTGAGATAATGAGGTCTCATTTCCATATCCTCAATAGATTCTAAAATGTGATGAGAGTCCCCAAATACCTGCAATGATGGGGTTCTCCTGTATGAGATAGTCATTTAAACCTGCAAGCAAAGGAGAGAAAACGGGAAGACGGGACAGGACAGATCCATCACAAGAACATTAGAATACATCAACTGTGTTTGATATTTACAGCTTCACAGTTAGGTGCTGTACTGTTATAACCAGATTTAAAACACTGAGACACTGTTCTAGGCCAATCTAGAACTCACTGTGTAGCCCAGGATGGCCTGTAAGTCAAGGTGATGCTCCTGCCTCAGCCTCCAGTGTGCTGGGATTGCAAGAGTGGTTGTGACTGCTGTTTGTCACTAAAGTAGTATGTTGCTCCTGAACAGTCAGTAGATAGTGCTGTTTCCTCCTGTTTGTAATGTATAGCTCCTTCTGTACTCTGAGCAGCTTATTCCAGCCCATTAGTACAACATTAGGGCTTTTAGCCCTAAAGGAGTTTGTAACAATAACATATACCATGCATTGAAATGGGGAAACTTTAGTATGTTTTGTTATTTTTTTTAACATACTTATATTTTACATAAGTATATAAATTACAGACTGGACCTATAGCTCAGCAATTTCTTCTTAAAATTTTTGTGATATGTATTTATTACTGTGTATGGCTGTTTTGCCTCCATTTATGTATGTGTTCCATGTGCATGGCCTGGTTTCCACCCAGGTCGGAGGGGGGTGTCAGTGCTCCCTGGGACTGAGTTACGGTGGTTGTAAGTTGCCACGTAGGTGCTGGGAATCAAACCTGGGTCCTCTGGAAGAATGACAAGTACTGAGCCAACTCTCCAGCCTCCTTGTTACCCTTTTGTTTTTTCTATTTCTTGTGGGCTTTGTTTGTTTTGTAAACTGATTCCCAAAGAGGCTATAAAGACTTGTCTTGAATAGGCCATGAAGCTTTGTTTTTTACTTACTAATATCCAAGTCAAGGTCTGTGGACCAAAATGTAAGACAAGATGCTGGGGAGATAGCTCAGTGGTTAAGAGCACTGGCTGCTTTTCCAGAGAACTGGGGTTCAATCACCAGCACCCACATGGCAGCTCACAGCTGTCTGCACCTGCAGTCCCAGGA